GGGGATTGAACTCAGGCCTTTGCACTTGCCAGGTAAGTGTTTATTCTACTAAGCTATCTCCCTAGCCTCTTAATTTTCTAATAATAGTGATATAAAATTAGAAAGCCACATAAAAATGACTCTTTGCAGACACATACACTATTCTATATTTAAAAATTTATTAGAGATAATTTGGATTATTTTGTGCCACACAATTTCATAACTTAAATGTACTATGATAGTGTAAATTTTTTGTGAATTTAGGACAGAGTCTACAGGGTATCCAGGGTCTCACTGTGTAGATCGGACTCATGGTGATTCTTCTGTTTTCAGCTTCCCAAGCACTGGGATTACAGACACATACCACCACACCATTTCAATCACCATCTCAGCACACCCTGGCAGCAGGGCTGACACGTGGGGAATCGAACCCTGGCTGCTGCACTCTGCCTAAGCAGGCGCTTTGGTCTGCTGAGCCATCTGTCCAGCCCTGCTGGTGTAATTTTTTTTTTTTGGGGGGGGGACTGGGGATTGAACTCAGGCCCTTGCACTTGTCAGGAAGGCGCTTATTCTACTGAGCCATCTCCCAGGCCCCTAGTGTAATTTTTAACAGCTACGAAATGTTTCACAAATTTGTATGTCATCCTTGCACAGGGGCCATGCAAATCTTCTCCATGTCACTCCAGTGTTAGTATGTGTGCTGGTAAAGTGAACACTACCAATGTAATTTTATAGGTCTATTTTAGATCACATACATGTGATATATGTGTATGCTAGGTATGTATCCTAAATATATTATATATGATCTATCTCAGAAGAAAGCATTCTAACATTCCACCTTGAAAATATTAACAGATTTGTTAAAAATTATCTAAATTTTGAAAATTAAATTGATGCATTTATAGATAAGCATTAATGAATTTATATTCTTAAAGTAGTTAATTATCCAGTTATTTCAGGAAACCATTTTATTCAGTGCTGCTTATGACAGCATGCTTTTATAAATTAAAAATCTTTTTCACTGGTCTGAGGAATTTACAGTATTATGGTTGACCTAGAGAGACAACATAAATGAAACAATATGAGGAAATATATTCACAAAATACAAGAAAGTATAGTAAAAAGTGAACATCAAAGAAGAAAACAGCGAAGTTTTTCTTATCCCAATTATTTTCAGTATTGTTCCATGCAAAAACAGTATGGTCATGAACTTATGTTACATCAGATGAAATTCACTAGCTAGGCTGTGATTTCTAGGATGAAGCAGCTGCTAAACAATGTTTTTTAACTACTCAATAAAAAATATAGGCCCAGCAACCTCGAATCTCCAGCAAGTTTCTCGGGGGCAGTAGATAGTCACTGTGTTCTCTTACAATCAGGATGCCTTGGCTTGGAAGCTTTGCAAGTTATAGATCTTAGGAGGAAAATAACAGTTCATAGACACTCTCTCCTTGCAGTCCCCGAGATGAGAGAAAGGTCGAAGGCAGTTTAACAATGTTTGATAGCAGCTCGGAAGATAGCTGTGTCACACAGGACCTTGTGGTGGGGACTGCAGCTCTGTGTTCCACTCTCAGCCTTGTTGTGGAGAGAGCTGAAATTTAGGGCAACGGGTTGAGAAAACACCATGAAATAAAAGAGCATGGGTCTGCATAAAACTACAGTCAGTAAAAAATGGAGAATAAACTTCCATGTGTTTGGTTTTTAACAGCCTCAGAGACTTCAAATAACATTTTACTAAATTGCTTTTGAGCTGCTCGCGGTGTAATGCTTTTTCTTTGGGTGACGTGATAGTTTGAAATCTGTTAGCAGTTGAGAAGTAGCATAAAAGGGAAACAAAATGTTTTTCTTCTTAAATGCCACTGAATCCAATATAATTTAGGTCAAAGGTATAATATATGCAATTTAACAGTTATTCTTGATGTCTGCTACTGATACTGTGGATAATGCTTGTACTCTAAAAAGTTCTTTATTTGGCCCAGATTCTCTGCTTGCCCTTCCTGGTCTACCAATTGTTTTCACCGGGGCCAATCCTATTAGTTGAAATATTTGATGTTATTCCAGGTTCCAATATTATTTATGCTAGATGGTTTTGTATGTAGGGCACACACTTTAAAAGGGTGCACTCTGTAATATTAAATGATATGAAAAATGAACTGAATTTAAATTTGAAAAAACAAGCTGACAATTGACGAATAGTCCAATTAACATTACGGATATTTCACTCAGTAGAAAAGTTAGATGCAAACAAACAAAAACGTACTTGCATGAGGAGTAAAGTTTGGAAATTTCTAAAAAACTTTTTTTTTTTTTTTTTTTCCCATTTCAGGGAAATGACCCAAGGTTATCTTTCTCAATCCCTTAACTATGGTGATTTAAAGAAAGCAGTAATAGACTGGGCATAATGGCACACATCTGTAATCCCAGTGCTCGGGAGGCTGAAAACAGGAGAATTACTATTAGTTTGATCTGTGCAGAAAGACCCTGTAGACCTGTACTAAATACATTAAAAAAGAAGAAGAAGAAGAAGAAGAAGAAGAAGAAGAAGAAGAAGAAGAAGAAGAAGAAGAAGAAGAAGAAGAAGAAGAAGAAGAAGAAGAAGAAGAAAAACAGCAATGTGTGATTCAGTGCCTAATGATTTAGGTCGGTTTTGTGAAAGTGGGTGCACATTATATTTTAGACCACTTTGTGCTATTGTCCCTTAAGTTCCTGGGAGAGGGGTTTCAGGCTCCTGGCGGTCGCTCCAGGACCTGGACAGTACAGACGCGAGACGACCTGTGACTGTCGAGATTCGAGTGGATGGTGCTGACGAAGGCCCTAGCAAGGCAATGAATACTGGGCATGGCTCGCGCATGGGAGCTCTCTGCGCAGCCTATCAGTGAGACCAAGATCACTGGGATGGAATTGGGGTTTTGTCAGACTGGCCGAAAATCCTTTGTGATGTAGCATGAAGGGAAGATGCTCTGTTTTTCCCAAGTAGTTTTCTACCATCAGCCATGCATGGGAAAAAAGGTAATAAGAAGTGAAACATGTTCCCAAGATGAACTTAAAATTATTTATGAATTCTCAATCTGGAAATAAAAGGAGACACAAAATAAAAAGGAGCATGAGACACTTTCTATTTTCTTTAATTCCTGGTTGGTGATTATTTTTCATATACCAAAGAAAACTGAAAAATAAGATCATTTAATAATTTAAAATTTTAGAAATAAAGAATTTATTTAAAAATAAAGAAAAATAACATCATTTAATGTTATTTGAGGTTAGTCTATGATCAATTCTTATTTCGTTTTGTTTGTAAACTATTAAAGAGTTCTCTTCTTTTTTTAGACAGGACCTTGGTTTGTAGTATGGCCTTGAACTCACTATGTAATCTAGGTGTGTAGTGATAGGAGTCAGAAGTTCACTGCCTCCAGGGGCTGGAGAGATAGCTCAGCCGAATAAGTGCTTGCCTACTGAGTGCAAGGACCTGCGTTTGATCCCTGGTACCACCAAAAAAAGCTTACTGTCCCAAGTGAGCAAGGAGCAAAGAACAAAGCCTAAGGAAACTGGCCTCTTGTAATTCAGACCAACTGGAGACAAGGTAGTAACAGATTCCTGGAGGCAGCACCCTTTCAGTCCTTACCTGCAAGATACCAAGTAGTGATATGCAAATTTATGGTGTATGCCAGAAGGTGATGTAGGTAACAGCTTGCCTACACCAAATTAGCTATGCACATTCCTTCGCCCTTTTGTAGCCCTCAGTAAATGTGAGACATTTAGGTGGCTGAGGCTCACTTAGAGCAGGATTAAGCTCAGGGAGACCCTTGAGGCTGTTTCACCCAGTCTTTCATCCACTGATGACAGACAACATAGATGGCCTTTCACTTGCAGCAGTCCTCCCTCTCCTGCCTCTGAATGCTGAGATTATTGGCGTGCACCACCATGGGTTCCTAACAAGGGAATGCTATATATAAAGTTGAAGTCCTCTTTTCCTCCCTTCCTTTATTCATGCTAATCTGCATGATACAGGATTTGTTTCAGGTAATTGGTACGTGAATTTAACATATCTTACTTAGTTTTATTCCCATTTCCTCCTTCTCTTTTTTCATCCCTTTCAGTTTGCTCCCTGCTTCTCCTCTACAATTTTACTTCCTGGTTGCTTATCCTTTCTCCTTTATTTTAATATTTCATTGGTTTGGTTTTTCATTCCAGAGAAATTGTGTATATTTACCTTTCTGTGTTTGGATAATTTCACTTAATATATTTATTTCTAGTTTTATCCATTTTCCTGAAAACGGAATTTATTTTTCATGGCTGAGTAAAACTCAATTATATGTATTTATTATATATATAATATTATACTATCCACTTATCTGTTCACAGGCATCTAGACTGTTTCCACAGAAGTTATTGTGAATTACTTTGCTATAAGCATGGAGTATATTAATCAGTATAATATGAAATCCTGGAATCATTTGCAAATGTGCCCAACAGTGGCATAGTTGCGTCAAGTTATGCCATGTTTAGTCTTTTCTGAAATCACTATGTTTATCCCTGTGCTGCCTGCACTAGTTTATATTCCCACCCACAGTCTAGGAGGGTTGCTTTTCTCACTCGATCTTCGTCAGCATTGACTGCTGCAACAGTTGACTGTGTCAACTTGGGTAAGAAATGCGAAACTGATTGGAATAGCATAGTTTTGGGAGTGGCTCAGAGGATACTGCAGACAGAAGATCCAGCCTGAAAGTATGGGGCAAAAACCAACAGACTTGGAGCAGGAATGGAATGAAAGGCAGATGAAGAAGGAAGGCTGGCTTCTGCTTCATTGAAGGTTCACCTTCCCTTTGGCCGGCATCTCCTGGCTTCCAGTGTAGGACACTACACAGAGCTCCAGGCCTTGGGCTAGATCCTTGTGCTCCGCAGTACACAGACAGAAATCTGCACTCTTCAATATCTGACTCTGTGAGCAGCCATTGTATGACAGTCTTGCGTTAAATCTGTTTCTCTAGTGAGCACTGGCTGACACTATTGTCTTGTGTAGTCTTTTTTTTTTTTGTTTTGTATTTAGTACACGGTCTACAGGATCTACAGGGTCTCACTACATAGATCAGACTCATAGATCAGACTCATAGGGATCCACCTGTGTCCAGGCTCCCAAGAGCTGGGATTATAGGTACGTGCCACCATGCCCAGTATCAATCACCTTCTCTGTGAGCCCAGGGGTGGAGCCAGCACAGCATGCCAGGATCATGTCTTTTGTAGTTTTCATGTTAGTCATTCTGACTGGAGTGAGATGGAATCTCGGTGTAGTTCCAATTTGCATTTCTCTGATGGCTAGAGGTACTGAAACTTTTTTCATACACTTTTTGGCCATTCAAGCTTCATTTGAGAAGTATAGATTCAGTTTATTTCCCCAGTTTTTTATTGGGTTCATTTTTTGTGGGAGTTAATGAAATTCTATAAAGACTTTAAAATAATATGTGAAGGTTCTAGATGTTCACTTTCTATCAAAAAGAGTAAATATGCAAAACTTTTGTCCTATTCAGTGGGTTATCTCTGCACTCTAGTAATTATTTCCTCTGCGCTATGGAAGTATTGTAATCTGGTGTAGTTGATACCATCTGTTGATGTTTGATATTATTTCCTGTACTGTTGCAGTCTTGTTCAGGACCTCTTTTCCCAAGCCCATGACATGAAGTGTTTACTCTGTTGTCTTCTAGAAGTTTAGATGGATCTA